CATAAAGTAGTTTAATAAAATTTGAATGCAAGACACTAAAAACTTGTGTCATGTGCAGTAAAGGATACCCGTGGTTATATGGTTAAGGACTATGTACACTTACTCAGAGAAGCTACTAAGTTCAGTAGCTGGCCAAAGATGCAACTCTCTGGGACATAGGTTCCAGTGTCACTAATATAAGGAAATTCCACCTCTACATCCCTCAGTAATATCGATATCACATACCTGTAAGCGAAAGACAAATATTTCACTGACAAGCTTGTACAGGTTTAACTCTTTTAGTGCCATGTTTAGAGATAAACAACTCTCCCAGCACCAGGTTTAGTTTAGGCTACATACAGAAACACATATAATGTTGTATAATTACTCATTTCTTGCTTATTATTTTCATATCAACCTGATTTTTTTTTACTTTTCAGAGATAACTGTCTGTAATATTATTAATAATGATTGAGTTCTCATGTTAACTTTCTCATGGCCACGAGCACATACAAACCCCCTCTGGAGCACTGCCGTGTGAGATTGAAAGTTTGTGTTACCTGTCAATCTTCCCAAAATTTATCAGTTTCAATTTCCAGATAAGTGATTAAACATGAAAATGTATGACTTTTGTTTTTTTATTCTGTATGTAAAAATAAACCTGGCACTTTGTAAATGTTACATAAATAGAGTTAAGTAAAATAATTATTCATGCATGTATTTCCAAAATTTGCAAATTAACACGCAACATTTATAAGCTTAATTATTTACAAAAATCAGATTTTATTAAATAACTATTTCTCAAGACATTTACTTAATACCACACTTTTCAAGCCTAAAACAGAGGTTATACAATGTGTTCTACCTACGAGCTCTAGAGGACTCTAGTTTCTCTCATGCATGTATTTCCAAAATTTGCAAATTAACACGCAACATTTATAAGCTTAATTATTTACAAAAATCAGATTTTATTAAATAACTATTTCTCAAGACATTTACTTAATACCACACTTTTCAAGCCTAAAACAGAGGTTATACAATGTGTTCCACCTACGAGCTCTAGAGAACTTTTGTTTCTCTCACTTCGTAATTGTTAATTTCTACTAGAATATAACAATTAATATTTCTATAACTGATGCTGCTATTTAAACAATTGTAAAAAATCACAATCAACAATACTCAGAACCTAAGACAGAATGTTATAATCACAATGAAAGAACATTGGAGTTAGTTGTAATACTTATTGGGTTAATTTTTTTGTACTGAACTCATATGCTGAAAAACATAAAATAACATGACAAATAATGTTTTAATCTTTAGAAGAAAGATAGACACAGCTTCTGCATTATGTTATATATATATATATTTTATGAATCTTTACATCAACAACCAAAAAACTGAATAGGGTTTATTGAATGTACAGGTAATTAATTTTTGACCACAAAAAACATCCAGAACCCAAATTCTGTTGTTTGAAGTGACAAGTCATAATCTTAGAAATGATAGATTTTCAGAATTTTCTCCATAAAAAACAACAAGAAATCTAATTTCTTATTACTGTACCTTTTTGAACATGTGGCTCATACTTTCATTTCCTTGACTCCAAATAAACTAGGGAAAGACTCTTAAAAACCATTTGTTCTTCTTTCAGTTGTGATTGGCTTATTTCTATAGCTCAACACAGCTAATTTTATTTTAGTGATTCTTCAGTCTAATTATTCTATCTCTCCCTACCTATGATTTGTTTGTTTACAATAGATTTGATCCTATTTACATACATTTCCAAAATTATTTTAAAAAATAGAATTTTCAATGTTCAATTGATTATTCTAGGGTATTCTTTTGATCATTTGCATCATTACTAAAATTACTTATGGTTCTTCAAAGAATACTTTTGTAAAATGTCACTTAGCATATTAAGAGTAATTAAAAATGACTTAAGCTATTCCCCACCCCCATAAAAACAACAACAAACCTTGGCACCCATTTTATTCTTCCTTATAACAGACATAAACAATATCTAATATTGCCAGCATTCTTTTTCCTAAAGAAGTATAAACATCTTTAAAAAACGTACGTTAGAATGAATGTTCCAGGTAGAAGAATAAATACAGCTAACGGTAGAAAGTATATCTTTGCCAATACCATCCCTGAAAGAAATAAAAGGTACCATAAATTATACTCTTTAGAAAAATAAGCATCTATTTTATATCAACACAAGCTACCAAAATAACATATGTCACATACACTATAATTATACAAATTTAAAACTTAAAAGATAACTTGCATCTTCCTCATAAGGACAACTAATTCCAGTAATGAAGAACGGAGCTGACTGTTCATGATCTGCATACATGAAACTTCTAATTATCTTAAAGTAGAGATAAAATTCTGTGTCTCAAAATGTTAAATTTTCACAATTTTTCTACAAGGTCTACATTCTATTAACTGTAAATGATCTTCCAGATTTTACTATTATTTGCGACTTCTATAGTAGTTTCACTGATATTAAAAAAAAAAGTTGTTTTGACCACCTGATACTCAGCTCTTTGTTTTCATTTTAAAGTACCAGTTTTAAACAACTTCATCTGGATGAAATTTTACTTGTTAGACATTACTCCATAATAATTAGAACCTCTTCTATAGTGGTTTTGTAAGGGATATCAAATGAAAAAGAAGTAACTTTCACCAAAAAGAAAATTTATAAGCATTTTTATATAAAATTAATAGATTTTCACTGAAGTACAGTATTTTCATGAGAACTCAAATATATACATATATCATATCATACCATCTTGGAGTCTGGCTCTGAATGCATTTAATATAAAGTACTTTTACTATAAGAGAATGCTATTCAGTCATTTCCACACTATGTATTTGCAAATTTGTTTGTTTATATAAGTAAATAATTCAGTTATTAATTTATTCTTTTTATATTTGTTCATCATGTTGGCACATCTTTCTTGTATTGGTTTTATAGTCACCTCTTTGAGGTATTATAACTAAAAACCTGTAAAAGTAAACAAGTTTCAAGCACAAACACATTTAACCTAAAGAAGTTTATTTCGGATTCTACCCAAGAAATTTAGTTTTTATGTCAAACTGTTTCTTTTTAGTGATTAGCCATGCCTGTTTGAAACTATTAATAATCACGGGTTAATTTTGATACATAATGCAACACAATGTTTAACATCTTTTTCCCTTTCATGATTTCTCAAGCATTTGTTGAAAGTCTTCAATCAGTTTCACACATTACATACAAACTACTGGGACAGTACTAATGATAATCAGATAAGAACCTCTTATCTTTTCTATTTACTAAGATATTGCTCTTGTAATAAACCATACACAGTGGCATTTTTGGAAATGCTCCCTTTTCTAATTAAAATTTCTGCTCTCCAGTCTCACTGCCTGCAAATTGTTTTAAAATGTCATCTGGAATGGATTCCAAACCTCTAACAAACCTAAAAAACAAAACCTCAATCACATCCTCAGAAACCATTCATCTCCCCAGTAAAAACATGTCAAGAGATATCAACCCATTCCATAAACGATAACCGCTTTCAAGCTGAGAAACCATACTGGTAGCTCTTCTCTGAAACCTTCTCAAGAACCCAAAATCTTTTCTGAATTAAGGCAACCAAAAGTGAACACAAATACTCTGAATGTGGTGTAACTAGTAAGTTAGAGAATCATCTGATGACATCCTTCAGCTAAATATTTCTCAACACTCCATGTGTACAACCTGAAATGTTGTTTTTCTTATTAGCTAAAATACATCATCTAGAAGATTCTGAGAAATCTTATAATAGCTATGCCTGGATCCTTTTCTTTATTAATATCACATTACATACAAACTGTTGGGACAGGACTAATGATATTCAGATAAGAACCTCTTATCTTTTCTATTTACTAAGATATTGCTCTTGTAATAAATCAAACACAGTGGCATTTTTGGAAATGCTCCCTTATATAC